GGATTGGATCGATTGCATTTAATTTGGTCTTTAAAAATACAAATCGGTACTATTATAAATTTCTAATAGATATTTACATTTATCATGGTTTAGCTTAAAATAAATGTCGGCGGTGTATCGAATTGCGTCATTCCGATTCAGTTTGTTTTGTGACTTGTTCTTTTTTTTTCTTTCTTTAGAATCTGGTGTTCCACACTAAAATCATATAAGGGTATAAGATGAATAATGGGGGAACAACCATACAGGGCCCAGAGTTGTAAACAGAGAGGTCAACTATAATGGCTGTATATAGTGGAACAGAGCCCAACTCGTTAAGCAGATACAAGAAGAAAGCACACATTGCAATGGCAGAGGCTAGGATTCATTTATTAAACGTTTGACATCTATAATGATAGCTTGAAAGCTAGTTATTAGCAGCATCAATAAGTTATAGAGAGTTACCGCTAATCCACAATATAAGCATTCGTTTATTTAATGTTTGAAATCTTTTCACGACAATCGTTGAAATCAGTTGCGGAAACCCATAGCTGAACAATGAATACACTATAATTTGGTCGATATTTCTGATTAATGTTTACTTAGTTCAAAACAGACGATTATTCATGATTTAACTGATCATTGCTGTTAGTTGTATTACAATAGCTGTCGCAAACAAACGCATAACAAACATGGCTAGAAAGCAGGAGTTTAAACCTTATAACAAGTTGTATTTTAGTGATGTAATCCATATTGTCAGTATATATTTTTGACTTATAATCTAGGATTTTGTTAACTGTGACTTATAAGGCTGAAAAAGGTCTCATATGTTGAGATGTTGTATGATAACATGGAGTAAGAAGACGCATCACACATCTGCATATCATCATATAGAGAGGAAAGATGTAAATTACAAAACGATGAAACACTTTAATATACATAACAAATGATAGTTTTAGCCTTTTAGACGTGCACTATCTATAAAAGCATTATCCATCCTAACTTTCTAGTCAAATAATAATAAACAGATAATATAAAATAGTATATATTGAAACTTAAGATATCAATACAAAAATATTTAATATATTAGATAATTTTGCATGAATATCTCAAATGGTAAATGAAATATTTAATATATTAGATAATTTTGCATGAATATCTCAAATGGTAAATGCTTATGTTTTTTATGTTTTTTTTTTGGGGTAAAAAATGGCGATTTCACCTCTTTGTTGAGAACCCAAACATTATAAATAGTCTTTTCCAACGTGAATTAAATTCAAGTGACGGAAGTTATAGTTGCAACCCTTTTACTATTAGACCAACTCAACATTGGTTATGTATTTTTATGTTTATAAGTTAATATAAAACTTATTTGTTTATTTAGTTTTTGGGAATTGAGATACTAGTTATGTAGATGCTCACGATTTGAAATGGACATTTGAGAAGAAAAAAATAGCACTTTAGAATTGCGATTCTGAGTGGCATGGACCAAACTTTAGGATTACTGTAATTTGTAATCATTTATGAAGAGACATTTTGGGAATAAAAGGAGAAAGGAAAGTTGTATAGAAGTCTGTGAACGTCATTGGATGACAAAAAAAAAGTGAGTCACTGGGTGGCAGTGGCACTAGAGGGGGTTTGGCTATGCAAAAAAAAAGAGTGAAAGCGTCCCCACAATGTATGTGATATTATCCGATTCTCAACTCTACTCTCTCTTTTTTTGTCAAATCATCTGATTCTCAACTCTACTCTCTTTTTTGGGACAAATTCTCAACTCTACTCTCCTGCAATCCCTTCCTAACGCATGCGAAGATACTTCATTACAGACTACCACTTAAAACTTAAAATAAGTTAACTATTCTTTGTCAAAAATCATTTAATTATTCAAATTTATCTGTTATTGATGTATCATCAAAGATGTGGAAACAAATAACAGATACATAACTTATGTGTTCACTAACATTCTATTATGTTACGTTTATACCGAAAAGAGAACATCATTACTCCTAAAAACATAAAACTAACTCTTTAGATACAAGTCCAATTAGAAAACGTAGCCGTCACAAGAGAGAAAAAAAGAGTTTTTTTTTCTAGTTTCAAGCCGATGGTCGGAGGCTTCTATAGTTTTGACATCGGCTTGTTTAATTTCATTTTGCTTTTATCTCTTTGATTTACTTTCTTTCTGGTTATTTGATTTATTTATTTATCAATTTATTTTGAATCGGACAAAGTTTTAGATTGTTTCTTTGTATGATTTCTTTAATGGATTTGGAAAAAAAAAACTTTGGTTCAGTTGAATCGTTTAGAAAAGATAGTTGACAGATCTACTGCGGATGGTGGCGACGGGTCTTATCGGCTTCAATCGTTGATGGTTTTTCATTTGATGGTGATGGAGTTCTTGGTGCAAACTATGGTTACTTCGAAAATCAGCAGAAAATTCTATGGAATGGTAATCTCTTTGACTCTGTTATTATCAGAGTAATATAAAGAGTTGTCTTCTCTCATTGGCTCCTACTAGAGTAATAAAAAGAGAGTATCAATCGTTCCCAACTAAGTTTGAAGCGTGGTGTTTCTGGATTAAGACGAAGATTATCTCTTTTGGGATTCAACTATTCTAAAAGTAAATTTGGAACTTTTACATGAAATTTTTTAGTTATCAATACGCAAAGATGTAATAGTTTACCTTAGATCCCTACTGGTGTATCAGTTTTCTATGTTTGTTTTGTTAGTTTTCATTGTTAAGAATTCTTTGCATAAGCTTAATAAAATACAATCCAGCGTTAAAAAAAAAACTCTTTAGATACAGAAAACAAAAATGAGAAAAGGTATCTATAATTTTTATCAACTTATAAATTTGAACAATGTATGCCAAAGTACCTAAATTTAACATAAAATTAGTTTGTCTTGAATATTTGAATGTATAATCAATATATATTAAGTATTTTTAAGTATTAAGTATAATCAATATATATATATATATATTAAGTATTTTTGGTGTTTTGAGTTTTGTTTAGCTATTTTTTCCTGTAAAAATTGTTTTCATATTTAAGGATTTCTGAAATTTTAGTGGTTCTAGTTAATTTTTTTAGTTTTTATTATTAAAAAAACATGAAAAGCAAAACAAAACAAAACAAAATTAAAGAAAAAAAATAAAGAAAAAGAATAAAAAAATAATAAAAGTTTTGTTACAAGCCAACGTGCTTCTGTGAACAAGCCGAAGTGCTTTCTACCATCACTCAAGCTCATCAAAAGAGCCTCTGAATCCGTTAATAAGCCTTCGAGCTTCTATTATGTGTTTCCAACCCAAGTTGCTTCCTCTCCAACCACTTAACGATGTCAACAAAACAAGACTTCCGATGACAGAAAAAAAAACACAAATCGTATGTCCTCTGGTCTCTCCATCAAAAATGACTGCGACATTCCGCTGCGTTCACAAACACAGATCATTGGATCTCCGCCTCTCTTCATCTCGATCATGAAATATCTTCACCACCAACACAACAAAAAAAAGCCTCAAGCTCCTAGCCACCATTGCGATCTCCGTTACGTCTTGATCTATTATCGGTCAATCTCAAGCCTTACTTCAGTGGTCACTTCATCACCGCCTTGAGTTTGAAGGGGCACATAGAAGGATACAGAATATCCCTTATATATTAATCCCGAAACATTCATAAATACACAACCTTTGAGAGCATGCTTACGTGTCAAGCTCACAGAGCTTCTCAGCTTTAATTTTTTAATGGACCAACTTTGCTAGGAATGAAGTAATGTTACATTTAATTTTTTTCATTTAGGACTATAATATATAGACATTTTTTCAAGGACCAACTATGCTAGGTATAAAATAATATATTTTATTTCCTTAAATAAAGCTACGAAATTACCTAATATGATTAACATATATATGTAATTAATGATTATGAATAATACATATTTTTGTGTCCTCTCTCTTTTTTGTTTAATTTTAAATTATTAAAATAAATTAAACAATCACATTTAAATATATAATAAAAATATTAATTTTTTTTCTTATAGGTTATATTTTTAATTTTTTTAAACGACCATAAATAACTAAAAATAGTAAAATCCCACTTGAAAATTTTATGATCAATGGTTTAACTTTGTTTTTTTTCCAAAGAAGATACAAATTGTCATAAATCGTACGAATATGAAGTATCATTAGTAGATATTCATACTATAAATATGTTAACTTAAAAATTTCAGTGAAAAGGTTTGAGGTTAGTAGATACAAATTATAGTATTCGAAATATTTTTGTAGTTTGTTTTATTTGCTTCTTTTTTTAATATTTTTTAGTTTGTTTAAATAATTTAACTAATTTTAAATTAGATTTATTAATAGTTTAAATATTTTGATTTTTTGTCAACTTTTAATGTTTAACAAATATTTTTTGGGATGATTTCAGATATTGGTTACAATCCAATCCAAACTGAATTGAGAAGATCAAATCGAATCCAATCGGATAATTAGTAAAATTCAAATAGGATTTATGAGAATAAGACCAAAATCTGAAAATATGTGTCAATCAAACTAAAACCGACGAAGTCTCAAACGTTCAGACCTATGATGATTTAAGATACCAACATTTGTATTCATCATTTTATAATCGATAAATACTGTAGTATTGCAAAATATTAAAAACCATTTAATGAATAAATATTAGTATAAAAATTTAACCCCGCGTATGCGCGCGGGTTATCATCTAGTTGTAGATATTAATAACAAATATTGTGTACTCATAATGTAAGATATTTACATATATTTATATTAGGTAATATCTGTAGTATAAATATGTATGTAGCTTAATGGTAACTTTTATGAGAGTCAATATACAATTCTTTCAATAGTCTACTCTCATCATTCTTAATATAAAGCACCCAATAATATATAAACCAGAAAGCCTATAAATATACCCCTGGTTAATACCATTTTCAACACTCACAAGTTACAACAAACAAATTAAATACCATAACTAACTAATTGTTACAAGCAAACACTCAACAACATGGAAGAGCAGAGCAAGAACAAGATCAGTGAAGAAGAAAAACAACTTCATGGGAAGCCAGGTCGAAGAAAGGGAGGATTAATTACCATGCCCTTCATCTTCGGTATGAGACTAGAAACATTCTATACCATTATTATTTTGCTTAAACATATGAAGATGACTATAACTAATATTTCATTTGATTATCAGCTAACGAGATGTGTGAGAAAATGGCGGTGGTTGGATTTCACTCAAACATGATAAGCTATCTAACAACACAGCTTCACCTTCCCTTAACCAAAGCAGCCAACACTCTCACTAACTTCGCAGGAACTTCGAGTCTCACTCCTCTCGTCGGTGCCTTTATCGCCGACTCCTTCGCTGGCCGCTTCTGGACCATCACTTTTGCTTCCATTATTTACCAAATCGTATGTTTATTTATATGCACAAAATTATACTTAAACCATTGGAAATTCAGAATAAACCAATAATTAAGTTCAGTTTACTCGACCGAGACTTAGTCATGTTTCCATTTTCTTGATGTTATTGTTCTAACGAGAAATTGTAAAATGAATAAAATAACGTACAGGGGATGACATTGCTTACGATATCGGCAATAATACCAACGTTAAGGCCACCACCATGTAAAGGAGAAGAAGTTTGTGTGGTAGCAGACACAGCACAGTTGAGTGTTCTGTACATAGCTCTTCTTCTTGGAGCTATCGGGTCAGGTGGGATCCGACCCTGCGTTGTTGCGTTTGGTGCGGATCAGTTCGACGAGTCGGATCCAGAGCAAACCACCAAACCCTGGAACTACTTCAACTGGTAATTTATATTATTCACACCTTTTCTACTGCATGCATATATATTTCGATTCCTTTCATAGATTCCATAGGTTTTTTTATTATTTGTTTAATTGGTCGTATAAATTATACAGCATTGAAATAGTTGAAGTATTATTAATAAGTTTGAAACATATTAATTAGTTTTTATGTATCCTAAAAAATATATACATGACTTTGTAATGCTACTATTAAGTTAAAAATGCAGGTATTAGCTATTTAAGTCTTTTTGTGTAGGTTAAAGATTTTTTAAGGACGTGCAAATATTTTGATGGAAACTCAATAAGGAACAACTTTCTTATAGTTTTGTAAATGAAAATAAACTATTACACAAACTATTAAAGTCTGCTAGATTAAACTAAAGTAATCATCTACATGCGTAAAGGTAATTTATGAACTATGAGCAAGTCATTTTTTCAAAAAAAAAAAAAAACTATGAGCAAGTCTGTTTTTTTTTTGCCAAATAAAATCATTGTTAGCCAAAAAAAAACTATGATCATGTGTTTGATGGAACTAGAAACCCCATGTCGTTATTTATTATCTAGTTAGAAATTTTCTTTTAATTATTTTTTTTTGTTGCTATAACCAGGAAGAATGAAAATTTGTTGATGTAATCAAATTATCAGGTTCTACTTTATCATGGGTGCAGCGGTTTTAGTGGCGGTGACGGTTCTTGTGTATATCCAAGATAACGTTGGGTGGGGTCTAGGTTTGGGCATCCCAACACTGGCTATGTTCCTGTCTGTTATTGCTTTTGTCGGCGGTTTCCGGCTTTATCGTCACTTGCATCCATCGGGTAGTCCGTTTACCCGCTTGATCCAAGTGGCAGTTGCAGCGTTTCACAAAAGGAAACTGACTATGGTTTCTGATCATACTCTTCTCTATTTCAACGATGAGATTGATGCTCCTATCTCCTTAGACGGTATACTCACACACACCAAACACATGAGGTAAATAACAACCTATTGGTGACGCTTCTTCTGCAAATTCATGTTGAAACTTCTGCTAATCAAGACATCATGCACTACATTATATACCATACTGATTTCTGAAGAACTAACATATAGTTGAATAATTTGATTACACTAGAGCTGAAGTGACGAAATGCTAACTTTTATAGGCCTTTTGACTATCATCATAGTTGATTTACTAATTCAATTTGAGTCAAGAAAAGTATACTGTGATGCGTTTGAAATATATAGTTTATACTATTTAAATATATTTATTTGTATATTTGTTGCACGAAAAATACTATTGAAATATATTATTATTTGTTTCAAGATTGAGTATCCATGTTATTGGTAGATAGATTCTAATGAATTTAGAGACTTTCGAGATTACGGTGATAATTGTTTTCCTGGTTTTTGGTTTTTGGTTTTTATCTTTTGGTTTTTGCTTTTGCATTAGATTTTAGTTTTTTGAAAAACATGAATGGTTGTTTTAAATTTTAGTTTTTAGTTTTGGATTTTGCTTTTAGAATTAATAAAATATTTTTTATCAAAAATAAAATATTTATTCTGGAAAACCAAAATGTTTATTTTAAAATATAGCTCATATGTATGAAATAGTAAATAAAATAACAAAAACTAATTTCCCTAAATAAAACCAAAAGTTATCAAGAATATATATATATATATATATATACATAATAACTAACTTCAAATAATTATATTTATTTTATTAAAAGTTAAAAAGTAAGAGTTATTTTGTTTACATCAGTTTCTTATTAGATAAAAATAACATTCAAAAATTATAATAGTTTGAGTACAATAAAGCTATGTTATAATTTGCATAGATGTAATTTACAATATTAAATAAAAAATGTGACAATCGGTTTAGTATTCGATAAAATATTATTCAAATACTGTTATAGTTTAGTAAAAATAAGCTGTGTTATAATAAGAATATAATATTGTTGATCAAGTGTTAAAATAGATGACTCTACAAAAACTAAGCTGTATTATTCAAATTTTGTTATAGGTTCATTTATTTGTTATAAAGATTGCCTTAGGTATCTTACATATTATCCATATCATAGTACTAAAACTGCCTTACGTAAGTTATATTTATATTAATAAATAAATATAAAAAATATTCAAGCAATAAAAACAAGAAAAAACTGGTTTTTAGTTTTTGTTTAGAAAATGACAGTTATTTTAAAAAATATTTTCCCTATATTTTAGGAAATGTAAAACTCAAAAAACTTGATTAGCTGAAAATTGGTTTAAAAAAAAAAACAAAAACCAAAAACCATTCTAAAAACTAGAAAGAATCAACCTCTACATTATTGGTTTGAAGTTTTTTTTTTGTGAAATCTATTATTACTGATTTAAAGATTTATATTCAAAATTTGCTTATTATTCATTTTAAAAGTTTATTAAATTTTACTGTTATTGAAATATAATTTTCATAATTTTATTCACAAAACTCAACTAAAAGTTTTCATATATATTCATTACATTCTTGAAATCTATGTGTCAAAAAAAGTATTGTATTTTTTTCTATAAAAAGAAAATAGTTAAATCAGAACTGACAAAACCATAAATATGGTGGAAGAACAATTTGAAACAACATAATCCAGTATCATGCAAATGCATAAATCGAACTTCAATAAACTGATCCATAGAACAAAGATCATGATATACTTGAAACAAAAATTAAGAAAAATAACACAAAATGTAAAAAAGTCATTATTAACAACACAAAGAACTAATTTAATATAAAATAATTACATTCTATGTAAAACCAGAATTTTCTCAGAAAACATGTATATATTATTTTGAGATGGTGATTTTTGAAAAAAAATAAAAGTATTTTTAAATTCATGACAATAAAAAGTAACTAACGAAAAAATAAAAATAGTTGAAATAGTTCATAGAATATTTCTTAATTTTATTTTATTTAATCATTAATATCCACCGAATTATATGGTTCCAATAATTTTTACTAAAATAATCCAAATCATTGCATTTCTAATAAGTCTATTAACATTTATGCTCTTTATACTTATAGTTTCTTGGACAAAGCAGCTATAGAGACTGAGCAAGACAATTTGAAATCATGTCAAACCCCTAATCTATGGAGACTAAGCACAGTCCACCGGGTTGAAGAACTCAAATCAGTGATCAGAATGGGTCCAATAGGAGCCTCGGGAATCCTTCTAATCACAGCATATGCTCAACAAGGAACCTTCTCTCTCCAACAAGCCAAAACTATGAACCGACATCTAACCAAATCCTTCCAAATCCCAGCCGGTTCAATGTCTGTCTTCACAACCATCGCGATGCTCTGCACAATTGTTTTCTACGATCGCATCTTTGTGAAAATCGCTAGAAAGTTCACTGGTCTCGAGCGAGGCATCACGTTCCTCCACAGAATGGGAATCGGATTCGTCATCTCATTTGTTGCAACTCTTGTCGCCGGTTTCGTTGAAGTTAAAAGAAAACACGTAGCATTCGTGCATGGGCTTTTGGATAAACCAAACATGGTGATTCCAATCTCATTTATGTGGTTGATTCCTCAGTATAGTCTTCATGGAATCGCTGAGGCTTTTATGTCGATCGGACATTTGGAGTTTTTCTACGACCAAGCGCCAGAGAGTATGAGGAGCACGGCGATGGCACTTTTCTGGATGGCGATTTCGATCGGAAACTATGCGAGCACTTTTCTTGTGACTTTGGTTCATAAGTTTAGTGCTAAACCGGATGGGAGTAATTGGTTACCAGATAACAATTTAAACCGGGGGAGGCTTGAGTATTTTTACTGGTTAATCACTTTGTTACAAGCTGTTAATTTCGTGTATTATCTTTGGTGCGCCAAGATTTACACGTATAAACCAGTTCAAGTGCATCATAGCAAGGAAGTTAGTAGTCTAGTTAGTGGTGAGTTGCAGTTATCCAAAAGGAGCTTAGTTGATGCATGAGCCTCTTGAGTCTTTGGATATGTTATGAAAAATCAAATGTAATATTTATAAATCCATGAAATTGGCTATTATTATTTTAGCAGTTTGTTTATTTAATCTGGTTTGATATATATTACATCATAAAAATATGACAAAAATAAGAACTAATGGTCTTTCCTTAGCACCAAAAACTAAGTGAGGAAAAATTCACTGATGGCACATCATTAGTGTTATTGAATTGGTCTTTTCGGACTAAGATAAAAATTAGTTAATGAGGGATTTACATACCAAACAATAGAAAATAATCTTATACATACTTTTTATCATATTAAGACAATAATTCACATAGTTCAGATATATATATTTTTTTTGTTATTTGTCTATCAATTTTGTTCCAAATTAGCTTCATTTAGGCTGTCTCTGAATCAATTTGAATCGTAAAAAAAACAAATTAGATAGATAGCCATGATTAATCACACTTTCCAAAAAACTAGAGAGAAGATATGATATAAAGAAAATCTCATTAAAATTTCACATTGTCACCTAATTGATGCAAACCTTCCAACTTCGCAAAAGAAAATCTCATTAAAATTTTACTTTATTTTGGAGGCAAAAATCGAATAATAAGTAAAAAAATTATGGCTTAATTTTTGAGTTATCTCATTTAGTTCATTATGCTGTAGAAAATAGGATGAGGTTGGAGAATATTTACTCCCTACTTAATTTTAGATTAGAAAATCATGTGGGTTACATATGTTCTGAGAAACAAAAAAATAGGGGTTTAACAAAAAAAAATAGGAGAGTGGAGGGATTTGATCCATCTTTTTTACTTCAAGTAAGATTATAGGCTTACTTCCTCAGCTAGACTAGGGCCATTTTCAAAGTTTTCATTACTTGAAATTATTTCAGTTTAGTTCTTACTGGACAAGCCCTATATCAGAGACCATCACCAAAACAATGTCTTCGGTCTTGACTATTACAAGGCCACAAGCCAACAAAAAAAAAGGTTGAACTTGACATACTCAAGGTTCGAAGTCAAGATGCTGATGTAAAGATAAATGATTTACACCACTAATCTATTTATATTTTTGCAAAAATTGACTAAATTTAATTAATATGTTAAGGAGTTGGAAGTCTATGTTTTCTTGGCTTTCCTTCAGAGCTGGACTTATCTTTAACTTAGAGAATTTGATCTTCTCTTGCATCCATAAAAGAAGTGCAAGCAACATATTTGCTTAGTGAAAACGGTTGTCTGGTCTCACTTAGCTACAGTATTCCAGTCACATTTAGATAGTAAAGTTGATTATTCAGCTATGTATACTTATCAACAGTCGCGTAGTCAACTTAATCGTTTCAAGCTAAAGGGATCACGATTTAGTTAAACCTTAGCAAACACTTGTGCTTCATATGCATAGACTGACCTAGAAAGAAAATCAATTACTTGACTCAATCTATCAATACAATGAATCCAAATAAACCATTACAAAAAATGTCGTATGACAATAGTGATAAATTGTTGCAATATACTATTGTACTGTTGCAAATATAGAAATTGCAAGAAAGTAAATTTATAGCATATATTAAATGTAAATTTTATATAACAAAAATTCCGATATATTCAAAAAGTGAAATATAACACAGTAGCTAAATGTTAGGTCCAAAATAGAATTCCAAATTACTAGATAAAATGGCCGTGATAAAAGGTTATTGATAAAATAAATTTTAAAAAATAAATTAACATTCTGTTATGTTATTTCGTATTACATTTTGAACTCTGTTAAATTACAACAATAAAAAAAAGAAACAAAATCAAAATAAATCTAAACAGATTTATTTATCTTTGAAAAAACTAATTCAAAAAGACGTGTAACCAAGCTGTCAGCTAGAGAGAGTGACACTTCTGTTTATTTATTAAATAAAAAAATACAACAATCCGAAAATCACGCGCTTTCATCGCACACAACATGTCTGCTGTCCCCTTTCGTTATTAGAAAAAAAAAACCAAACGGGCCTCCTTATCGTGACAGAGGAAAGAGAAAGCTGTAAGAAAACCCCTCTCAATGGCACTCTCGTAAATTACTCTAATCTCTGAGAGTACTAACGTAATTAACCTTCTTCACTCAACGTGGAGCCAATCACTACCCTTAATCTTATCCCCAAATCGAAAACCCTAGCTTTTTTTTATACCATTTCAAATTCCGCCTTCTCCTTCCGAGAGAGAGAGAGGATAAGAGTGGGCAGCTATGGCGTGGTCGTCCGAAACGCCGTCGTATTGCGGGTGGAACGAGCTGAATGTGAAGAACGCGAAAGGGAAGACGGAGGTTCATTATTACCTAGAGAGGAAAGATGGATGTGCAGATCTGGCTGTTGTTGGGAGGTTGAAGAGCTCTTCTAAACGCATGTCCTTTAGATACGCATTGAAAAGGAACCGCTCTGTTTTGAAGAAGCTTAGCTCTTTTGAAGATGTTAAGTGTTGGCTTGATTCGATTGTTTCTGGTGATTTTTCCTCTTTATCATTTCTTTTTGATGTGCCCTTTTGTTGATTTTTGTTGGGTGTGTCGTGAATGGGAAAAAGTTGAGATTTTGAATCGGAAATGAGAGAAAGTTGGGATCTTTTTGTGTTCTTTTGACAATGTTTTTTTGTCTTATTTCATGTTCTGTCGGATTTGTGATAGAAGTCTTGTCTGTGGAGTTGAGGAAGATAAGGTTTTCATTGAGGCTCTTACAAGTGTTTGCTAGAAGTTTATATTCAAAGTCTTGTATATGTTTATTGAGGTGCTTATGTTGTTCTTTTCTGTTAGAGAATCTTACTTTGTTTCGTTGCGCCTTTTGCAGCTAAAAAATAATAATGAATTAATTTTGCTTCAGACAGATCAGATTTCTCACCTTTTGGTACTGGGCATGTCTGCACGAATTGATGTTTTTTCAAGTTTTGTATCTAGTGATAGCATTTTGTTGAAATATTACTGATCTGTTGTTTGTGGTTTTCTTAGGTGAGATACCTCATGTAGCAGATGTGCCAGCTACTACTATGACTGAACAAGCTGCTGGAGGATTCAATATTGGCTCTTTTATGGTACTGTGTTTAATTTAACTCTCAAGTTTTTTTAAGTCATTGTCAGATTTTCTTTTGTTTCTTTTCAGAATGGTAAGCCTCAAGAGCTTGTTCACCCGAACATACATTTCTCCTGGATGGGTCTTTCCTGGACTTGCAGGAAACGGCGTAAGCATTATCCATCTTTCTCCCGGAATGGTGTCAGAGTCTCGGTGAGACCATTTAAATGTTTTTATTGAAGTTTAATTGGTGCCATTTTCTATATATAAAACTGATCCTTTTTCCATAAACTCATCACAGGTGAATGATTTTGTGTATGTTTTAGCGGAGCAACACAAGAGACTCATTGCATATTTGGAAGATCTTTATGAGGATTCTAAAGGCAACAAGATGGTCGTGGTACGGTGGTTTCACAAAGCTGATGAAGTTGGTATTGTTTTGACCGACGATGCTAATGAGAGGGAGATTTTCTTTTCTCATTGTCGTCAAGATATCAAAATTGAGTGCATAGATGGGTTGGCTTCTGTTCTCAGTCTTCAGCATCACGAGGAGCTTCTCAAGGTGCCAATGCATTTTCAGCGAGTACCTTTCTTCTGCCAGAAATTATATGGAGATTCTGGCATAGAGCCTTATGACATTACACAATTACAAGGTTACTGGAGACAAGAAATGGTTAGATACTTGAATGTTTCCATTTTAAAGTCAGGTGAAGGTGTCCATGCCCTTGGCACTGACCCAGTAGCAGGAGCTTCTCTGACTGGTTCTGATGGGATTAAATCAAGGAAACGGCGTCGCTCTGCAGATGACATCAAAGGTGACTGCAAAGCTAGCCCCAAATCTGTTGACTCGGAGGCTTCAGATGCTTCTATGTGCAAGGACGCAGAGGATCGTTCGTCCCATCTCATTAAAAAGGGTTCACTTGTTGAAGTTCTTTCCCAAGATAGTGGCATCAGAGGTTGTTGGTTGGTTGCATTGATAGTAAAGAAACACAAGGATAAGGTTAAGGTCCAGTACCAAGACATTATGGACGCAGACGATGAATCAAAAAAGCTAGAGGTACACATTTGGAAAGCCCACGCTTTGATTTTATTTTATACTGCCCACTGTGTTAACATGTTTCATTTCTTGGTTGCAGGAGTGGATTTTGGCATCTGGGGTTGCTCCTAGTGATCATCTGGGTCTTAGAATCACAGAACGGCAAATAGTGCGTCCAAATCTGAAGCCTAGCAATGAAAGTCATGTGTGGGCTGTTGATGTTGGTATGCCTGTGGACGTGTGGTGGTGTGATGGATGGTGGGAAGGTATCGTGGTGGAGAAAGTTTCAGAAGAGAAATTTGAAGTTTACTTACCAGGTGAGTTAAGACATACGATAGCAAATTCTTTATAAGATAGATATCTTTTTTGAGGGTCTAACTAATGTTGTTTTATCTCAGGCGAAAAGAAAATATCTTCCTTCCATCGTAGTGATCTCAGACAATCTTTAGAATGGTCGGCAGATGAGTGGGTTCAGATGAAATCAAGATCAGATCTCGTGAGTTCTGTCCTATCCTTGATGAAGAAGAAAGAGGTTGAGGTGAAACCTGAGGAGAAGCTATGTGAAGTTGGTGTTGGCGTTATGTCTTTAAAGGATGAAGCTAAAGTAACAATATCTCTTCCAGTAGCTACAACCAATAAGCCGTCTACCAAACTACCAGTTCCAGAGCTTCTAAAACACGTCTTAGTTTCTGACTTGAAATGGACTGACTCTAACAAGCGTAAAAGAACTGCCAGTTACTGTCGGCACGATCATAATAGCTTGGCTGATGGTTTATCACGTGAAAGATCCTTGGATTTTGAGAAGTGCAGTTCCATGGGAGATTCTCTGTTTAGCTCCTCGGTTGCTGTCCCAAGGAAGCGCAATCGAATAGTCAGTTGCCGTCCACACGAGCCTAGCTTGACTGATGGTTTCTCATGTGAAAAATCACTGGCTTGTGAAAACGGCATGTTCATGGGAGACTCTGTATTTGGCTCTTCTGTTGGGCAGCCTTGGACTGGCCTAGTAATGTCAGGATGTTGATCAGCTTCGTCTTGTGAGGTACATATTACCTAATGTGCATCTGCTTGATGAGATTTTGGGTTTTAGATTATTGCGACACAAGATTGCTTTGGGAGTATAGGTTTAGTTCGTCACGCCATCCGAATTCGTTTTGTGTATGTATGTGGAACAGTAGACATAGAGCTTTCAATACAAGCAGCAAGTTTTGGATGCAGTAGAGAGTAGGTGATATAGCATTACCTCACTAGGCTTTTAGACACTAAACAGTGTGTTTTTAGAATTGATCATCTTCTTTTTCTCTCTCTTTAGCATAGAGATTAGATTTGTTTTGTTTCTGGTGTGGTGGGATCTTTCTTTTCATGTAACATATGTATCATCAAATAAAACATCTTTTTTTAACCTTGAGTACACCTTCAGTGTCCATATAATATATACTCTTCTTACCTGTGAATGGTTTTAAAGCTGATTTGAGTAGTAGTAATAAATAAAGAATGGTTGGATACTATACTGGTGTTCCCTTGAATGTTGAAGCATGTAGTTTGATTACTTCGAAGTTGCAGGACACATGATTGGCACGTAAGTTAATTCTGTCATTGTCTATGTCCCCGTAAGAGTGTGGTCTTGTACATCATCCAAACGGGACCAATATTTGAAATGGATCTCTTTGTTTGCAAGTTGTAATAACTGATGCTTTGTGGATACTGGGACCATTATGAGAACGGATCATTGATTCAGTTTTGAGATTGAGTCATTGAGATTTTTTACACTCTGCAAGACTGTAAGAGTGCTTATAATATACCACTTGTTTTGATCAAAAAGGTGAGTGTTTTTAATCTTAAACCCCTTTTAACTTTGTACCTAATATCCCTTTTATGCTTATCTATGATTGGCTATACCAAAGTGGGGCTAAGGAAAGAGAGATGAAGAGCTATTTACTTGAATGTTCTTGGTGGGGTTGCATTTTTGTGAGTGAGGCATCTTTTTCAAACTATGCAGAGGAAATGTAAAGGAAGGACCAAAAGGTCTTGACTTTCTCACTCTAAAATATGTTACATTAAGTCATGGATCCAAAGCATAATTGTATGTCTGTTTTGTGTGTTAACATGTCTCTTGTCTCTTTAAACTTGATTTTCTCCATAGAGTGAAGCAAAAGAAAAGATGGGCTTCTTCTGTCATCCACTTAAGAAGATTTAGCTAGCTCATCCTTTTCCTGATAGCGACTCTTTGTTTGGTGGTTTGTGTAGGATTCTTTCTTCCTGTTTTACTTATATTTCCTTGTACAAGGAGACGACACTGTTATGGCTTCTCTGTCTGAAATCGTCGAGCATGAGTTTGGAGCATCACCAAGAAGCAAGCTTTTAATAACAAGTGAAAGCAGTCTAGCTTCTGTCGCATCCTTATCTATGCCTCTTGTTCGTAGCTACTCTTTTGAACAGTTTCTCTCTTTGAATGTGGTTTTGGTTGTGGTAATGATTTTGTGTGTTATCAGATTCAGGAGATTGTTTTGTCAGCAGACATCAGATGTAGTGACTGCCAAGAGAAGATCGCCGATATAATGTCAAGGATGATCGGTGAGTGAGAACTATAGTTTACTTCTCCAGATAAGACCACTTGTAGTTCTTTTCTCACAACAGATTGTTTCTTGTTTTCTCTGGATTTTTGGGAGGCAGAAACATATTCAATACTAGTGAGTGTGTTGGAGAAGAAAGTGACGTTGACATGTACATATTCCGGTGACCGGAGAGTCTCCAAGTCATATGGTGAAGCTCTTCTCTGCAAAATCTCCATCTTCAAGCGTAGGATGTTTCATTCTTCCAAGAAACAGTAATTAAAGTAGCTTAGTTTTTACTTTGCAATAAAAACATTTTCAGTACTTCATGTCGCAATGTGATGGATAATGTTTAGATATGATTGTAACAAATAACTCTCAATAGCAAAATATCACAGACAAAGGAAAAATGAATTATTGGGAAGTTAAGTTGCCGCCACTTTGTTGCCAAAGATTGATGATGTCAGTGGCCTGATTAAGGAGAATGATCATCTTCTTCTGAGAGATCCATGGCTTAGCTTCAAGAGTAGTCTTTAGCTCTTCCCAAGCATCTTTTCTTGGCCAGAAGAAGTAAGGACTAAGTGGGATTGTTCCATGTCCTGGGACATGCTGGTCCAATCCTAAACCTATGTTCTTTTCCATCCATACAAACTTGAGAACCACTCTTGCCTTCTCCTCTTGTTGGTTCACTACCTAACACACAAGAAGAACAATTCAGATATGCTTGAAACAGAACAGTTAAGACAAAGAAGAATGTGTTGTTGTTGTTTACTTGTTTTGGTAGTGGAGTGTCGGAAACATCAGTTCCTGAGAGTGGTTCAGAAGTGAGTGTCTCTGGAGCTGCAAGAGCCACAATCTTCCGGTTTAGAGTGATGGGTTTTGTGGATTTGTTATGGAACGATGGAGAAGCAGTGAAGGAGAGTTTTGGATGTTGGGAAATGAAAGAAGAGCAGAGGGAAGCAGATGATTGGAGTGCCACTGATGACATCATTTTTTTTCTTGTTTCTTGAGAGAGCAATGAAGATTTTATGAGAATGGATAAGGAAGAAGATATGGTTGCAGACTTGGCAATGGAGAGCTCCAAAGTAGTTGACAGTATATGGGCTCTATTGACTAGGCCCATTACTTTGCTGTAGAGTTAACAGAATTATAGATTGCAGATTTTGAAAAAAAAAATAGATTGCAGATAATAATGTGGATGATTTTATCTAACCTATTTTCTATGATCACAACAAATTAACTCGTTAACACACACTAGGCCTGGGCATTGTGGGTCCCAATCGGGTTCTGATTTTGTCTAATTGGATCTCGGTTTTTCGGGTTTATCAAAATTAGCTCCATTTGAATTATTTGAAAGTTTGGTTCGGGATCAGCTCGGGTTCTATCGAAAGTCGGGGTTTAGTAAATCTTTGAAGAACCGGTATAACCCTATATACTTTTGGATTCAGGTTCCAATCGGTATTTTGATTTAAAAATCTCCGATTTGTACCTATTTTGTAACCAAAACATAAGGTAAATCGGTTCTTCAAATATAAAGTACCGACGTATAACTATTTTGTAACCAAAACATAAGTAAAATTGATTTAAAAATAAGAAAAAAAAATCAAACGTGATCATTCCAAATAAAATAAAAAGTAAACATAATTATTAATAGAAAGAAAATAAAATAAATGAAAGCATAAAATGAAAACAAAGTTCTTAAAAAATGAGAAACATTATTCAATAAAAACAAGACCTTAATCTAAATTTTTTAAGTATCAACCGCTACTTTCAACCATCAAATTTCATGTAATACATAATTATTTTAGATGTTTAGTAATATCTTAAAGTATTGTGGATATATATTAAGAATTAAGATCATATTCGGTACACGTTCTTATTAAAAAAAATCATGTTTAGGTTCTATCGGATATCCATTTAATTTCGAGTTTGGTTCGTATAATACCCATAATCCAAAATACCAAAAAATAAGATGCATTTGGTATTTACGTCGGATTCAGATTGGTTCAGATTCATTTTTATCGGATCGGGTTCGGTTTATATGTCCAGCCCTAACACACACTATACAGTATTTATATATATAGATAAAATCGTTATTTGTATTGATTAGATAAAAACGTTAATGCCTTTTGAGATTGTTGGAGCGTTTTGGTGCATATGTCCAGCTCCATTTGCAAAAGAAGTATATATATTTAAATAATTTTCCCCCGTTCGTTTTCTAATTTTTTCTCACCGGAAAAACAAAATTTAGTTTTTTCAAGTTCTCATCTAAAATATTTTTGTAAGACCTATCCATCTGACAAAAAGACGTTAGAGAAACTCAGAAAACCAACAGAAAGTGATTATAAATTATCATTGTCTTAGTACAATTGGTTTGGGAATTATTGTGTATTATATTAAGAAATTACTGAAAATTATTGCAAAAATGTACGGGGATGGGCCGGTGTTCAAGGCGGAAGGAGCTTCCTTCAGGGATCAACCATACGGTACAGAACTTCCTCAGGGACTATGGACCACCGGTCTCTGTGATTGTCACCAAGATGGTCACATTTGTACGTTCCTTTCTTAATCACATTGTCTTTCTATTACGAACAAATCTGAATCTTTCTTTTTTTTTTTGTCTCGTAATGGAATCTTGAAAAGGTGTTCAGACAGCTATAATGCCATGCATCTCCTTCGCTCAAAACACCGAGATTGTAAACAGAGGAACCATATGTAAGAAACACGTATCTACATTTTTTTTTAACATTGATTTGTTTATATTTAAATAAAAAACTAAAATTTGGGTTTTTTTTGGAAAATGCAGCTTGTATGGAGGCAGGTTTGATTCATCTAGCGTTAGGGTTTGTGGGTTGCTGTTGGGTTTACGCGTTTCCAAGCAGGACAAGGCTTAGGGAACATTTCGCATTGCCTGAGGAACCATGCAGTGACTTTTGGGTTCATCTCTTTTGCACTTCTTGTGCTATATGTCAAGAATCTAGAGAGCTCAAGAACCGTGGCGCCGATCCTTCCATCAGTATGTAATCTTAATGGCTTTAGAAACCCTAAAGGATTTAGCTTGTTCTAAAAAGAATCATAATTTTTTTTTGTTTGTGTTTCAGGTTGGCTTTCGAATGTAGAGAAATGGAGCCGAGAGAAAATAACTCCTCCTATAGTTGTGCCAGGCATGATCCGCTGAAGAGTTTCATGATTGTATCTTATTTTGTATAATGTATATGTAGATCTTTCTAGCTTCTGTTTTTTTTTTCTCAGTTTTAGTTTAGGAAAAAAGTGAAATAAGAAAAAGTATGATTGTGGATTATAACGTTTACTAAGCTGATAACAGATTATTTAAAAAGTCTAAAGTAGACGAGCTTTATATATGCTTTCCCTGGTTGCAGATGCCTGACAACTGCTGATCTGCAACACAGAAAAAAATCCATCTTCATTCTTAATAAGATCACTTCATAAAGGAATCAAAATCAAGGATAGTATTACCATTTCCTGCAGCCAAGTGAGTGCTGTCCCTGGAAAATCATCTTTCAACCGAGCATCCCTTCCCTGGATACAGGACAAACTTCATTAGTACAAATTAGCAAATCTTGAAGCCTTCTTCTTCCATAGTACATTGTAATAAAGACAATAGTGCAAAAACAGTAATTTTCAGACCTGTTGGCCAGCTCTCACGACGACTATATTGAATTTTTTTATACCAAAATCTTGCGGATATAACCAAAGAATTATCAACATATAAAAACTATGCTCGTCTTCTACTGGCAGTGATGGATTAGGGCCACATATAGTATTCTTTATCAAATTTATATACTCCCTCAGTTTCAGATTTGAAGACTTACGATCCAAAGAACAAACTGTCAACTCCTGATTAGATATATATATTTTAGTGAACAGAATCAGAAAGATACATCTGTACCATCTCGCAATGAATTGATGTTATTTGCATTCTCAAGTACCAGATGAAAAGACACTTCATGATAAACCCCAACAAAAGATCTATAAAGGCAAAGTTTCACTGCATACAGCAACAGTCTCAGTACCAAATTTCTGATATTTATATACATCCAAGGAACATTTTTCTTTACTAAATAGAGTGTGTCCTGGGAGGAGGCATGGAAAATCTATACGAAATTTAAACTAGTTTTTTTTTTTAAATTCAGCAGCCTCCACCATCAGGTTCAACAGAACTGAGAAGACCGTTACCACGCAGCTGCATACAGTGTTGCTCTGCATCAGCCTGAGCACAGACGATGACAACAGCCAAACCGTTGATGTGGGCTTCTTGCATAATGTTAACTGCGTTGTCTACAGTCATGCCTGGTATGACCTTCATCAACACCTGAACCACGTACTCCCTCTTGTTGAAGTTGTCGTTGTGTAGTATCACTCTGTAAGGTGGAGCCATCTTCTTTGATTTCCTGAACAACCAGAGAAGGTAAGAATCAAACAAATGTCTGTACTTCAGCTTTATCTTTATCAAAACCATGTACAATTGTCTAAACAGTAATAGACTGTTCAAGAACAAGAATTGAGGAGTGATGCACTTTAGCATTTTTTGGAGTTAATGATGTAGGCAATATATACCTCAAATCAAACTCGGATTCACGACCAGGAGTAGTTTTCTCAATAATTGGTTTGTCCAAGACACCACCTCCTTTGGCCACTACGGACGTAGACATGGTCATGAGAACACCACGGTTACTCGTGTGCGGTCCTTTTGAGAGAGAATGTTTGTCCCCTGCACACATCAAGTAAGAGAGATCTAATGTTAACACATGACATTTTAGAGACAAAGAAGGAAGAAAATATGATTAAACATAATCTTTGGAAGGCTGACGTTTCTGCAGAAGTGGAAAAAGGAACCACATTTTTCAGCAATCATATAAAATGAACTCATTACAAGAGGTTTCTCAAGATTTGAGCGCATTGCTTGCTGCGAATATAAACTTCCTTAATGCTTACAACCAATAGTCTAGAGCTTACAAGAATCCCGAAAGTCCCATCGATAACATTCCTAAGACTTAAATCAAGAGACAAGAGCAGAAATTAAACCACAACTACAAAAGCTAACATGTATATATATATATAAAGTGGTCTGAATCTGTAAAGTGCATATCAGATTCCCGTTCAATGATCATCACTTTGTTTATCCGTAGGATGAAAAAAAAACTAATTTTTGTCTCACACAACGAAATAACATTAGATTCAATCAAAGCCAGTAGCTGAAACCAAAAAACAAACACAAACTAATAAGCCATAAAAAAATGGTCTGAATATTTTAGAAAAGTCATTTATTTCTGAAACATCAAAGTGTGTCTTTTCGTAAATATTCAGAACCTAACTTATCAGATTCACTTCAATGAACATTAGCAAGAAGAACTGATCTTTTTTTTTTTTTTTTGGTTGTAAATTAATCATTTGTCATGAGCAATTTATGCAAAGAATAATAAGGAAATTATCAGTTGATAAAGCTTCAAACTTTCACTCAGCAGAAAAATACTCTTATGGATGATGATAATAAGGAAGAATGAAGAAAGAAGAGAACCTGAGATAGAAGAATTGAAGAGAGAGTTAGGTGCGAGAGCTAATCTCCCACATAGCGCAGTCTCCATGCCTCTCCGTCGAGTGGATGCTTCTCTCACTTGTCTCACAAATAAAATCAGGACCGAGCAATTTTAATCACCAAAACTATATTCACAAACTGGTGGTTATGGTATTTCAACGTTGCATCTTCATCAAAACGCTGCGTTTTTCTTAAAGTGTCTAATCTAATTACCGAACTAAACAATACTTCTAGTGGGCTGAAGATGGGCTTATTTTGGGTTAAGTTTTTAAATCCATCTCCAATGATAAAGAGAAGGACTCTTCCTTAAACCTCTTTTTTTTTTTATCGCAAAAAAGAATTTAGGAAAAAGAAAAAAACAATTGAATCGAAAGCAAAAGGGATCTCTCTCTCTCCAATGTCGTCGTCGTCGAGTGCTCCGTCGAAAATAGGGATGGAGAGGAAGAAGAAAGGAGCACCGATCAAATTCTTGGTGCCTCTCATATACGCGCCTGCTCTGCCTCTGATTCGCCTGACCTTGAGGCATCAGCCTGTTCTCAGAGACCGTCTCTTCGGTCTTGTCCTCGCCGGTGCTTTCGCTCACGGCTTCTATCTCGTGTATCCTCTTTTTTATTTTATTTTAAATAATTACAACTCTTAGCTTCTAAACCTTGCATAGCTGCCTGCTTGTCTTGTTGAGTTTCATCACTCTTGTCTGAAGATTTTGTTGAGAGAGAGAAAAAATGTATTTTTAGGGTTTAAGTTAGTTTGCAGTAAAGATTGGCTTTCGCTGTGAGAAATGTTCACAACCAATTGAAAACTGTAAGATTGCATTCTTGTTATTGAACTTGGCATCATCGGTTAGCTCCACTAGGGCTGTTTTCTTGATGGTTTAGCTTAGTTGGGCATAAGGTTCTTGAATTTAAGGTGTTGATATATGGTTTGGTCTAGGGCTGTTTTTTTTAATGGTTTTAGCTTAGTTGACAAACATGAGTCTATTATGTGGATAAAGCAAACTAGCTGGAATTATGCAATTTTTTTTAATGTTGTTAAGCCTCTTTCGAATGCTCTTTTTGTTATTGATTGTTTTGAAAAAAAGAAAGAAAAAAAGTATGCTCTTTTTGTTATTGATTGTTTTGTTCCTTAATGAGAGATCCCAGAACGGACATATATGATGCAGAGAGCAAATGAGAAAGCAAAAAAAAAAAAAACACTGGGAGTTGCAGCCATTCATCAACAGCTCAGTATTTTTCAGATGTCTTTCTGATTTATTAAATAATTTGCTTCCTTTTTTCAAACACAAATCTTGTTTCAAGGTTACATTTTGCTTTTGTGAATCTGAAATTGGAATTGGCTTTGGCTTATGAATCCACTAGTCATCTTTTTTCCTAAGAAAAGTGCATTGACACAGCTTTTTCATTTTCAATCCCATTCTTGGAAAGATCCCATGTGAAAGTGACACATCACTAAAACCAGTTTTGACACAATGTGCATCCACATCAACAACACATGCTGATGATATGAATGAGGAATATAATTCCACTTATGATATAAAATGAAGTCAATGTAGCAACTAGATTGTGGAAATATCAAAGTGGAGACAGCAGAGAGGTGGGCATGTGTTTATAAATAACACCTCTTGTGCATTGATGCCAGATTAAAAAAAATGCGTTTTAGGTATATTAATCATGTATATATATATTCCCTTCAAGATCCTTACTTTGCTCTCACACCACATGTACTAGTAATCACATGATGACTCGGGAACTTCTTTTATTTTGAGTACTTTGTTCATTTAGTAATAATGGAGAAAATGACTGACTGAGGAGTGCTTATAAAAAAAATTGTGGTTGGAATGTTTTGGGATCACGAGTTGGTGAATGTTCTTTTGCGTTTTAAGTTTTGACGGCGACATGTTTTTTTACTACTAAAGAATAAATCTTATTAGGAATATTCTAACTTTGAATATTAAAAATACATATACACATACGTAATATAGTTGCACTGTGTAATTGTCAAGTACTAAAGGGTTTGTATTTCTTAATTAGAGAGAGAGATGTTTATAAGAAGATCTCATTCTTCAAACGTCAAAGGTTGTGATGAGTGCACATATGTCATCACCGGAGTCTCCACGCTAATCTTACAAAAAATCAACTTGGAGTCTAGGATTAATACAAATAGAATTGGTCAATTGAGATAGAAATCGTCCCAGCATATATGGCTACAAAAATGTAGATAATATTCAGGCTGGATAGTGTACTTAGTAAGCAGATTTTTTTTTTTTTTTGGGTCAAGTAAGCAGATTTATAAATTGATGATGACTGATACTCCTATATCAGATTAAAACCGCTAATTTGGACATTTAACTACTTGGACCAGATTTTATTGTTTTCAAATCGAACTATTTAAAAATTGGCATGTGTAAAACTATTGTCTTTAGAGCCGAAACTTCTAATGTTAATATATCATGTCAAAAGAAAAAACGTACTAGTTTTTATAGTATTAATTTATCAAGCGGTCAAGTCAAACTACAACTTGATATATAAAAGTCAACATAAGAGAATTAATATAACATAATAAATACTTGAACAAGATTTCGATAATTCAAATTAAAACGTAACTAGTATTAGCAGACAACTACATGTTATTAAAAATAATAGGAAACATGAATATGCAATTTGATTAACAGTCATAACTTTAATGGTTAACTTCACGTCAAGTTAAAAAAGAAGGTCAGAAGTCATGTGAGATTATTTCTCATTATCATCGATCGATTGATGACGAACCGCGTTATTATTATTATATTAAAACAAAAAGACGCGTACAAGCTTGAATAAAAACAAAAAAAAAACATATGAAAAAAGCTTGGTGGTGAATTTGGTAAGTAGCTTAATTTGATTTATTTCGGTTATGGACAGGAATTTATATATATTTCCTTACTTTGACCGTTGATTTTTTTTTTTGTGTGGTTCAGAAGTCGGTAAGAAGATTTGATTCATTGTTAGAGAGATTCAAGAACCAAAAGTTTGAAACACGTTTACAAGAGAGAAACAAAGCTACTTGTGGTTTTTTTTTGTAGTTTGCTTTGGTCTTTAAAGCTGTCCACTTTAGTATTATAACGGAGATTCTTTTTTTTTTAAGTTATGGTGTTTGAGTGAAGAAAGGTCTTACAGATAGATCTGAGGTTATTGCACACAGATCTGAAGAAGCTCTGCTTCGTAGTGAAGCTTAGTGGTTTGAGTAATTTAGGGTTTAAGCTGCCTAGTGTGTGTGTGTTTGATCTGGAAAAGGTTGCCGCTTCGTCACGTTTAGTGTTGTTTGTATTGGGTTGGTAAAAGTTTGGTGCTTTCAGGATTATACTCTCTTACTCCAAAGTCTGCATTTTTAGGTTTGAAAGTGATCCATTCATCTTTGATGAGAATTTGAGGTTATTTTTGGTGAACCCAGAAGCGTGTCAGTGATTAGATGGCTACAACGCCAGCTCAGCCTCCTGTTTCAACTCCTCCACCGTCCCCACCGGTTGTTTCTCCACCGGTGGGCAGTTCTCTTCCGAGTAACAATGCTACTTCACCACCACCGTCTCAGTCTCCTCCTCCGGCCACACCACCACCAGTGACTCCATCACCACCGCCACCAGATAGTAGTGCTCCTCCTCCGGTTCCTAATGAACCACCTCCTCCTCCTCTGCCTAAGCCACCTGAGACCTCTCCTCCACCGCCACAGCCAGTGATCCCTTCACCTCCTCCTTCAGTTTCACCGCCTCCACCACCGTCTGTGCAGCCACCACAAACCTCTCCTCCTCCACCATTGCCTTCTTCCCCTCCACCTCCTTCATCTGTTCCTCCTCCACGCCCTTCCCCTTCACCACCAATCTCACAACGCTCTCCTCCACCGCCTTCAGGGCGTCCTACTCAGTCTCCTCCTTCACCGCCTCCAGAGCGTCCTATTCAGTCTCCTCCTCCTTCTTCACAGCCTTCATCTCCTTCTCCTCCTCCTGCTCCATCAGATCGTCCCATTCAGTCTCCTCCACCACCAGAGGATACTACTCCACCAACAACCTTCTCTCCTCCTCCTCCTGTTCAAGATTCTCCTTCCGAGATACTTGTACCACCAGGTTCTTCTAACAATACACCTCAAAACAACCTTCCTCCTAGTGCTCCTGATACTTCAAACTCTTCTCGTAGTAGTGGCATTGGTACTGGAGCTGTTGTTGGCATCACTGTCGCTGTAGCCCTCGTTCTTTTCAGTCTTATTGGACTCATTGTCTGGTGCGTGAGACGACGAGAGAAACGGCTCTCAGCTGTTAGTGGTGGTTATGTTACACCGTCGCCAATGAGCACCTCCTCCTCAAGACCAGGTAGCTTGTTTGATCAAGCTAAGTAAAACCATTTCTTGTGTGTATGGTTTCTTGATTTGCTTTTGATGTTCAAATGTACAGATGCAGCTTTCTTTAGGACACAGTCATCTGCACCTGTAGTAACTGGAAAGCGTTCAGGGAGCTATCAAACATACTTCTCACAATCACAATCTGGCGGCTTAGGCAATTCAAGAGCACTGTTTTTATACGACGAACTTGGGAAGGCAACAAATGGATTCTCTCAAGAAAATCTATTGGGTGAAGGTGGGTTTGGTTGTGTATACAAAGGGATATTACCAGATGGGAGAGTGGTCGCTGTGAAACAACTTAAGATCGGTGGAGGACAAGGTGACAGAGAGTTCAAAGCTGAAGTTGAGACGCTTAGCAGAATCCACCACAGGCATTTGGTTTCCATTGTGGGACATTGCATCTCTGGTGACCGTAGATTGCTCATTTATGATTATGTCTCTAACAACGACCTTTACTTCCACCTTCATGGTAAAGCTTAAAATACATTTTCTGAGATTACAGTTCATGTTGCCATACTTAATTCCGTCTTCTACGTTGTGTGAATAGCATCTAAAGAAGTTCTTGACTGGGCAACACGTGTTAAAATCGCTGCTGGTGCTGCTCGTGGACTAGCTTATCTCCATGAAGATTGTATGTTGTTCCTTGTGTAGCCACATTTCATTAGGGAAGACTTAGTCTTTAAGGGTAACCTCTAAACATTTGTTAATTGTCAGGTCATCCACGTATCATTCACAGGGACATTAAGTCGTCTAACATTCTTTTAGAGGACAACTTTGATGCTCGGGTAACACATTAGTCTACTAGTCCAAATTCTCAAGGTTTCAGTTACATAAGACTTAGTAACAGTGTTTAATCTCTCATTTCTTATAGGTTTCTGACTTTGGTCTTGCAAGATTAGCTCTTGATTGTAACACTCATATCACCACAAGGGTTATGGGAACATTTGGGTATGTGCTTGCCTAGTTCGTTTAAAGGGCACAACATGTGCATCTAGTTGATATTTTTTCTCGTTCATCCTTTCGCAGCTACTTGGCTCCTGAATATGCATCAAGTGGGAAACTAACAGAGAAGTCTGATGTATACTCCTTTGGAGTTGTTCTGCTTGAGTTAATCACTGGACGTAAACCTGTGGATTCATCTCAACCACTAGGAGAGGAGAGCCTTGTTGAATGGGTACGCATACTGTTTCTTAAAACGTTTTACTTCATGTCATCATTCATAATGACGTTTTGACATTCTTGTTATTCAGGCAAGGCCTCTGATAAGCCATGCCATAGAAACCGAGGAATTCGATTCTTTAGAAGATCCCAAGCTTGGAGGAAACTATGTGGCTTCCGAAATGTTTAGAATGATTGAAGCAGCTGGAGCCTGCGTGCGCCACTCAGCTGCCAAGAGACCTCGGATGGGACAAGTACAAGACCATTTTCTTCTCTTTCTTTCTTCAATACAAAAGTTTTGAAACTTGAAATGCTTTTTTTGCAGGTTGTGAGAGCGCTTGAGAGTTTATCTGCGGAAGACCTCACCAATGGGATGAGACTAGGAGAAAGCGAGGTATTTGACTCAGCTCAACAGTCAGCAGAGATCAGATTGTTCAGGAGAATGGCATTTGGCAGCCAAAATTACAGTACAGATTTTTTCACACATAGTAGTTACAACAGCAGAGATGGAAACGTGTAAATATCCATCCATACACAGTTTGTTTTTACTTTCTCTCTCCATTAGAGGCAACAAGAACCCATCAAGAACAACAAAGTTTTGTCTGAAAAGTTCTCATCTCTTTGCGCCTCTTAAGCCAACACATCTCAAAGCAGAACCTTCTTTGAGTACCCCAAAACAGTAAGAATCTCTTTCTCTTTGTCTATTCTTGAATTGTGTTCATGTTTTTGTTTCTATTTTGGTGAAACTAAAGAGACTACCGAATACAATTTTCAGAAACAGAGGATTTGCAGAGGAGCATGTGGTAGGAAGATGAGAACAAGAGAGGTTTTTGTTTCTGACATGAAAGTACCTTTTGTATCTATTTCTTAATCTTCAAATTTGCACATTTTGTGACATTACTTCCTCGTCATGTTGTCTCATTCTTATACTTATGATACGTCAACAAGGTTCTTTCTTTGTCTCTTTGTCTCTTTCCATTACCCCTGTGAATCAACGTGATGGAGAGTAAGTAGTAGAATCAAAGGAAACGCAAGATTGTTAGTTACTTTGACGTCCAAGATATCTAAACAATGCTTTTTAAGTGTCTATATGAGCACACACAAACACATGGGGGTTGCTTTGCGTTGCATTGTTATTACCAATATTGGCAAAAAGGAATATATTCCTTTGGCATAATCCCATGTAACCTCGTAAGCTCTGTTTCTCCATCTCCTCCTCCTTCCTTTATATCTTTGTTGTTTGACCTTAACAGAGACTTAATGCATCAACAATAATGGAACAAGATTGTGGTGCGTTTGCAGCAGACTGTGTTGTCCTCTGTTGCTGCTGTGAATGTTTTATGCTACAATTCTTTCTCTTCATCTTCTTCAAGTTTCCTCGTAAACTTGCTCAGAAGATGAAGAAGTTTGTCACCAAGAGGGTCCGAGGAAAGAAGAGAAGAGAGGAGCATTGCAGAGGAGAGGAAGAGCATTTGTCTGGTGATGGGACGAGAGTTAGTTGCATGGAAGATATTGAGGAGATATTGCAGGAACTTTCCATGGAGGGAGAGTTTGTGTTTGGGAGTTTCTGGCAACAAGGAGACTCTACAAACGATTTGGATTTCAGAAACTCACTGAAAACAATGATCATTCCTTGTCATTGCTCATCACACAAGATGTCTTATTCGATTCAAGAATCCAAATAACAAAGCGTTAAGAGGACCTAACCAAAGAGGTATATATAACTTTACCCTATGCACTCTTCATTACTCTAAGAATTACAGTATAGATTAAAGGAATCTTGAGAAGAGAAAAGACTTAGAGATGCAACTCCACTGGCTATCTCTCTACTTGAACTCTGATGTATAATCTTCATCTGTTCTTGGTCAGAAAATGTACAAACAAACTGGTTAACAGCTTTCTTCTCTGGTCTGAAGCAAGAAAGCTTTTTGCCTCCATATATACGTCCTACGAGTCAGCTGAGAGTAGACAAATCCACGAATATTTGGTTATTTGGTTGTTCATGCAGAGTTAGATCTCCTCACTGATCTCTTTTTAGCTTCTAACCTTGCGGTGAAACCAACAGTTGTAGGCCTTATCGATCGTTGCCTCACAATATCACAGTACTCAGGGTCATTACACTGACCCTCGTACCTTAACCACTGTATCATACCATGGTACATTGGGAAAAACCTCATCTGAATCGCAGAGTAGATGAAGTATGGCATCAAAGTAGACACAACCACAAAGAGAGTGATGACCCAGTAAGAAAGTGATGGCGCCAGAGCTTCAATAAAGACTCTATACGCACCGGTTGAAATGATTGCTGGAAACTCTCCGTACACTGTGATGAAAAGGTACCAAACGATGATAGAGCCCCAAATGACAATGTGCTGGATCAGAGTGAAGTAACTGATAGCTAATGCCATCTGCAAGTTCACAACCCAAACGATACATGTGTACATTGTCCCACCTAAGATCTCTCTTCCTGATGTCTTTCCTTTGTGGTTGAAAGCTTGAGACTGAAGAGAGCTTTTGCAGAGGAAAAAGATGATTACTGCACTGTAGAATCCGTTGAACATCCATCCAAGTATCCTGCGCCAGCTGAAGAGAACATTCTGCACACCTTCTTGGTATAATAGTGGAAACTGTGAAGTCAATAAGGAAAGAGTTTGGTTAAAACTTGTTTGACATGTGAGATGATGAAGCCGTTGTAACAAAAAAGAAAGTTTACCTTGAGACAAAACCGTGCAGATACATCTTGGTCGAACACACCAAGAGCCATAACCGGAAAAGACGAGAAGAAAACATTGTAAAGAGATAGGAACCAGTCGTTGTAAGCAGGTGTTGCTGAGAATGTTGTGTATGCTTCATATAAGAAGAGAGTGAAACCAAATGTAATGTTCTTGTAGAAGAAGTAGCAAACCTGTCAAGCCAATAGTACTGATTATATTAAGAGGCTTATGGAACAAAAGGTTGGTTGTTCTCAATATGAATGATACATACCATTGTTGAGATACGCCTGTAACACCAGTGTCCATGAACTAGTAACAAACGTTCTAGATATCTAAACTGAGCAATGGCAATGTCACTTGACATCACAGCCTGCATGCCTTCCACACCGCTAATCCCAACACCTATATCTGCTTCTTGAAGCATTCCAACATCATTTGCGCCGTCACCAATGGCTAATGTTGTTTTACCATTTCCGGATTTTACTAGTCTTGTCACCTATATAGTACTTCTTGAGTATATGTTGACAATATCAAAAGTATTAACCAAAGATCAAGTACAAAAAGAAATTGACCAGAGCTTTCTGTTTTGGTGATGAACGGCAACAAATGACAGAAGCACAACCAACGGCTAGCTCTAAAAAGATGTGCTTGACATCATCATCCAACGCATAAGCCAGTGATTTTCCATCAATGATTAAAGCAAAAGCTTTAGAGTTTCCACCAGAATAATTTAACTGAGACTTTCCATTGATTATCTGCAACAATACACTTTCTTTTGATGCCTGCAAGATAACATCAACCACTTTGTATCATTCATCTTAACATAATCTTCTGCATTGGTAACATTTTTATATATACCTTTGCAATAGCATCTTTCTCTCCGGTTTTCTCCACTGAATGGATTTCAGGAGTCTCCAAGTTAATTATGATCTGTTTCATGTCTTGCCTGAGCAAACTACAAGCGAAGCTGTCAAAGAGATACATACAAAAAGGTTCATAAAATGAACAAAAACTGTATGGAGGAACTCAAAAGAGTAGATAATATTAAGGGGATACCGAGAAAACGATACCCAATATTGATAGCAGTCTCCATTTTATCACCAGTCAAAACCCAAATCTTGATTCCTGCTTGAGCTAGCTTGTCAATGCAGTCAGGCACCTGAAAGGAAGAAGATAAGATATGTGAGCTCAAAAACTAAAAAAAAATTGATTTATATGAAATAACATGAGAAGCTTGCTTACTCCATTTTGGAGTTTATCTTCAACAGCAGTAGCTCCAAGAAGAATCAGATCTTTCTCAATCTTCTCTGTGACTTCCTCTATTAGTGATTCTCTTTCAGCACTAACCAAACTCTTGGCTTCACTGATCCTCTCATTGAATAGTTTGTACTCTTTCTCTTCAAGTTCGCGGTATGCAAGTATCAAAGTTCTCAGCCCTGCATCAGCATACTCGTTCACATGGTCCCTTGTTTCCTCTTCAAACTCTCTACCCTTCTTGGAAAGTCTTTCAAACATAACACTGTAAAAAGAAACAATAAGTTTACTAGATGTTCAGTTTTGATAAGGTTTATTAAAGTAATAGCTCACTTACTTGTCTGCTCCTTTACAAAGTAGTAAGAGCTTCCCATCTTCATCCTCCACTATCACTGACATTCTTTTCCTCGTGCTGTTGAACTCAAGAACGTTCAGGACTTTGTACAACCTCGCAACTCGTTTGCCAGTCACAAGATCAAGCTCTCTTACAGATATGGTAGTTTGAGTTCTGTTATAAAACTCAAACCCAAGCTCCCTTGCTGCAATAACAAATGCTGCTTCATCAGGAGACTCAGCTTCATAAGAGATCTTCTCTGTCTCTTCATCTACTTCAGGTATCACTGTATGACACACCGCAAGTAATCTGAAAAACTTCTGAATAACATCAGCATGAGGTTCAGTGACCCAGTTCCCATTCATTATCCTTTCATCTCTAAAATTGAATCCTTTCACTGTTGATTCAAAAAATGCTTCCTTACTGTAGTCCACATCATTCTCATTGCTCTCAAACACCAAAGGAGAACCGTTTCTTCTTCCCATAGCCATCTCAACCTCTGTGACACCACGTCCATAAGCTGTCCCTGCAACAGAACACTTGATGAACTCCATGGAGTTACAAGTCAATGTCCCTGTCTTGTCTGAGAGAATTGTATCCACTTGACCAAGTTCTTCATTCAGGTTAGAGGTCCTTGCACGAGCTGGCTTGTCAGCTTCCTCGTAGTACATGTAAATGTCCTGATTGATGAAGATGCTCTGAAGGACTTTAACAATCTCTATAGAGACATACAAAGATATTGGGATGAAGTAACTGTATAGCATAGCTGCAGTTAGAAAGTGATAGATGGCTGCAACGTGAGCTCTCCTGGGGTCAAAGAAGATGCTTGAGCTATCTGGTTTCAAGTACCATCTTCTCATCACACCATCCTTGAAATCATCTCTTGTTGTAACTCCAAATACAACAGAACCAATGAATGACATCAGCACCACCATGAAGAACATGAGGTAGATGATCTTATCCATCTTTTTCTCAATCATGCTTCTTTTAGAAGGATGATCTGTTGAGTTCTGAATAACCTTCGTGTCACGACCAGTGAAGATAACCGCGCCAAAGATGAAATCAGTGTTCCTGAGTTTTGAGTCTCTGAGAAGAAGCTGTTGAGGTGAGAGAGGGTACTTGGCTCCTTTAAGCTCCATGGTTCCAACAAAGGAATACAAGTTAGCGTTTGGATCCTCACATTTGACAAATGCCTCAAAGCCCTTGAAGTTATAGTCTTCCCTCAAGGATGAAGTTACTTCAAGTCCTTGTTTAACTTTCAGATTGGTCTCACCGTCTAGGTTCATGGTCTCTACATAGCATATAGCATCTTCATAGCTAGAGGAGAGCAGAACAAGATCTGCAGGGAAGAACTCATTCTTCTCTATTTTAACTATATCTCCAACACTTAAAGTCTTCCACTCCTTAGAATCAAAGTTACCATCTCCTTTATGCACTTTCACTCTCCTATTATTCACCTCAATATCCTAATACATTACAAAGCTTTATATTTTCAGACAAGATCAAAAATAAGACTAGTCCTGGGCATATTATCCAAAACCCGAAAAATGAACCAAAAAAAGAAACTGAAACCGGACCGAAATTTACAAAAACTCGAACGATTCCTATTTCTCTAAACCCTATAGAATATAGAAACCCAACCTCAAACCCGATATTAACTGAACCCATCCGAGCCAAAAAATGTTTGGTTGCCGAACTAATCCTAAACACTCCAACCCGAATAACCGCAACTGTAAACCCAACACTAAACAAGACCACAAGATTGTAAGAGTACCTGTTTCTTGCGACGCCAATCTTCAACAGCTTCTTTAACCATAGTAGCCCCGATGACGAAAAGGAGAGGAACAATGGCACTTGAAGCGGTATAAGGAGCAAGAGGAGTGAAAGACAAGATCCCAGTGACCAAGAAGTAGAAGTTGGCGACTCTCCTAAACTGTTCGAATAGTGACTTTGGTAAGAAAGTAGTGAAAGTGTACTTAGTGGTTCTCACGTAGTTGTCACTGTAGTTACTTGAATCAGCTTCAGGCGAATCAGGTTCGTTGCAAAAGACTACACGAGAGTAACCAGGTCCTCCTATTCGAGAATGATCTTGCTTAAAACATGCTTGAGTGCATGTTAGTGTGTATAGCTTGCTTAGTTGTATTCTTCTTCGTCCTCTTCTTGGTTTCTTTGTTCCTGCCATTGAGAAGATCTAGAGGAGAGACAAAGGTTTGAATCTTTTTTACTGAAAACAAGTTGCAGAGCCCTGAAAATATATTTAAAAAAAAAAAAACAATTTAGACACGCAAAACGAGTAAGAAACAGAGGAAGACAACCAACCGAAAATTTTAAAACTTAGAAACAGAGAAAATAATGTTTTAAAGAATATGAAAAAAAGACAATACCGATGCAGACAAGACCGTGACGGGTTGTACTCTCTCCGGCCTCGTTTTCTGTGACTATCTTGTCTCGGGAAATTGAGTGAATCTTTCAAAGAGCAAGAAGGGTATCTGAGAAAGCTTGAGATCTATTATAAAGTTGAGATTTTTAAATCTTGTAAGCCAAGAAAATGGAGCTTTGAGTGAGATCTTATTCAATTCCTCTGTTTTTATTATAGGCAATGTTTATCTTCTTGAGACGAGGAAGAAAAAAACAGAGAGAAAGTGCCAAGATTCAGACAGGTCATAGAATAATACTAATAATAATGTTTGAAAGGAATAAACAACAGCAAATCAAATTGCTGAAAACAAATTCAAAAGATGGAGAAAATGAGACAAGGAAATAGTCTGTTTTATTTTCCCGGGAAAATGGGAATATCTGGTGATCTAATAATGGTCTCTGTGTTGAAGAACACAAAGAAGAAAAAGACAGAGACCAATATGATCAAGCCAGTTGCAAATCTAAGAGACTTTTAGTGTCAGAAAACATTTAGAGATGGGAAAGAAGAAGGAACGATTGGATGAACATTAGATGCGCAGTCAATGTGACCAAACAAAAAATATGCACACTTATATTAGATGCATGAATTCTATTTATTTTGTTTAATTCCTACTCTCCCTCTCTCTCTAATTACTTACTTTGTTTATAGTTTTTTTCGTGAACGTTACTTTGTTTATATACCAAGTGCTACACTTCTTTTTGTCAAACTCTTGCGATCTCGAACCATAAATAGAAGTGTGACAATACAACTTTTCATTATAGAACTTTTGTGAAATCATATATATCTTCACTTTCTCTTTAGAAAATAATACTTGAGTTTTTTATAAACGTAGATATCCCATAAAATGATTTTTTTTTTTCTAATTTATGCAGACTTTCTTGAACATTTTATATGTATGATATAGCTTTCTGAATTTTTAATTTCCCTCAAATTTAGGAATGCTTTCATATATATGTAAGTAACTTTTTGAATGTAACTTATATTTTTATTTCTTGAAATTTATTTATATGCATATATAGAAAAATATTACTCAGTATATAGCATCTTTTGAAAATTTATGAAGATTTTAAATATGTTTAGTATCTGTATAAAATTTAGATTCAAATTCAGGAAAGTTTTCTAGAAACTACAGAAATATATTATACATATTTAAGAATATCTTACTAAATATACATATAATTCAAATTAAGTAAAATATTCATAAATACATATTTATAAAATGCACATTTATGACAGTTTTCTGAATTTTATAAAGATATTATACGTATTATTTATTAATATCATTCTAAATTTCAGGAAGATGTTATACTTATGAAGGAAAATTTTCTAAACTCAGATTCAGAAAGTTCGCTTACATATTCAAGAAAGTAAAGATATTTCAGAAAAATAATGATTTCAAAATTTTAAAATATTTGTTTAAATATTTATATATATATATATATATTTAAGTATGATGTATAATTATCATCTCCCTCTTAACTCAAACATATACAGTATTTCGTACTCTCGAAGGGGAGCAATGTACGTTTTATATCTAAAGTTCTGATGACAAATAAAAGAAAGAAAGATTTTTGTGGACTAATTTGGAAATAAAAACTTCTTTTGAAACTATTTGAGACAATTTCTTCTTCTTTTTACATGTTTTTTTAGGGTTGCGACTTTTTAACCAAAACCGAATACCGAACCGGATCTGATCCAAAGTAGACCGGTTTGGATCGATTTCGAATCCGGCATATTTAACTGATAGGTAATGTTCATGAATATTCGTGGATATCGGATCGGTTCCAGTTTTTATCTGAATCCAATTAGACACCCGCTTTATATTTAAAAGATATGAATTTGAACCTTTAGAAAGTCAAATCGGGGTTGACACAATGAAAGAATAACCACATTTGCCACTACACCACTTCATTTTCTTTGTAAATACTTTCAAACTATAAACATATATACGATTTGTGTTGGGATTTTTTTTTGAAAAAATAAAATTAAAAAAATTAAAATTAGAAAATAAAAATATATATAATTTCATGTAAATATTTATATATCCGAACCGATCTGGAACTAGTCTGAAATGATCCAAATCTGAACCGAAGTTCAATCAAGTACTCATTGGATATGTTTTCTTAATAACCAATTTACCTGGAACCGAACTGGTCTTATTTGGAACCGAATGAGTCTTACCCGAAACCGATCTGTTATCCAAAGTCCCAACTCCCACGCCTATTTTCTTTTACAAGATGCTAGATAAGTTACATGACAAAAGAAACTTATGCAATATGCGAACTCATATCAGAATAATATTCAATGAATTAAAATATCAAACAAAACCACACCTCACATATGACTCGACAAAACACACTGTAGTCTATGTTTTAGGAGCAACTGATCTAATAATAATCACAAAAGTTAGTGTTTAAAACATAATAGAAATTTTGATTTTAGCAATTGATTAAATAAGTTAGTAACGAATAGAGTGGAACCTATTTATAACTAATTTTGACAAAAAAAAATCAATCTAATTAGTATCAAATTTGAAGAATCATGAATTCATCAGATCAATTCTTTTTTTAATAAAACTAGATTTTGATCCGCGCAACCGCGCGGGTGTTTGTTTTCGTTTATAAGTACTTATATAAACATTTTGATTTCACTTGGTATATATTATAGTAATCACATATTTACGATGTGTATAGTAAATGTTTTTCAAACATAATAATATTATATAATACGTGTTTTAATCAAATAGATTGTTTCAAATTTCTATATTATACATGTTTTTCAAACATGTGTTTGTTTCTTCTTCTATATTTTATTGTTTGTTAGATTAGTATTCCATTTTTTAATAAAGTAATATAAATAGAGCTTGATTAAATATTAGTATACTTTAATTTGCAAAGATAATATAAACTTCGAAGAAATTTTCGCTAAAAATTAAACTTATAGCTTCATAAATTAATATTATAAAGAATTTAATTAAAAAAAGATTTTTGTAAACAATTTTTTTTAAAACAATATAATTTTAAAAATTTACATCGAAATAAATTTATCGAAATAAATTTATCTAGTATATAGCGTGTAAATTTTGTTAGGGTGTATAAATATTCCATATTACGAATCCGTGATTTTTGTTAATATATTGTGGCTGCATTTAACTATTATTGACATATTTCCTTATAAATAATAGTAGATTCCTAAATTTATATCTATTGACATATTTTGCGTGACTAAATTGCAAGGTGTGGGATAACTTACCCAAACCAAATTGTTAAGCATATCTTTGTTATTATAGATATAAATTTTTCATAAGATATAATAATAATAATTAGATTATTAGAGAGTTAATGTAACATGACTTTCTAACAATAGTCTATTTTTAAAAAAAATCACACATGAAATCAAGTTATGACTTCTGTTTTAATATATAAGATAGATCATATTGAATTCTACTAATATGGAAATTTTTGTTTGATTACGAATTCAAAATCTCACAAACTCTTAATTATCATAATAATTATTTCCTTTTTTCTTGTTAAACTGCTTGCGGCTGAATTTCGAATAGTTATATTTTGAGCATTTTATTTTTCTCAATGATAATGAGTTGGGGGAATGACTTTATATTCTATAGGATTTGGTATGGTTTATTAGAGGAACTTTGACTTTAATGTACAAAACATGCCACCGGCTTTTGTATAGTTTGGTATGCATCATTGAATGCATGGATATTGCTTTTATGTTTCACCTAAATGTAATTCTCTCTTCACAAATACCTCGTGTGTTACATCTTGCCGGTCCCATTTCATAAGGAAATCAATTTATAAAATTGAACATCTTATTGATTCCTAAAGCGTTATCTTTGTATACTTTGTTTGTAGCCTTGAAGGTTTTCTCCTGTTTTTTTGCCGTTTGTATACTACAACAATGAAATGCGTTAAAAAACTGGGAGATTATAAAGTCACCTAAATATATATTTTATAGCTATTAGGAATATTAGCATTTCTAAATAATACTATTTTATATTTTTATGATGTAAAACATTTGCTAAAAAATTATGCACCTTGTATAAATAAACTTAATAGGCTAATAAATAAATAAATAAATTGTATATATAAACTTAATAGGTTAATAAATAAATATATTACCAAAGTTCCCTCTAAACTTATCAAAATGTTTTCAAAATTTACTAACAGATTCTGAAGATCACCATGCACACACAATCACCGTATTTTGTAAAATAACTTTTCATAATCTACAACTAGATTCACTTCTGAGCCTTGTCAAAATGTGATGCAAGTGCAACGTCTATATTTGGTTTGATGTAATTCACACGCTTTATATATTTCCAAAAAAATAATATTTTCTAATTCACTTTTATATCGGTTATCATAACATTGTTAATGTCGTCTTGCAAAAAAGAAAAAAACATTGTTATCGTCTTTACAGGAATTCAATTGATCATACATTATACATATTTGATACGGTCGCTAGCTATGACACCAGCTGAATTTCACTTAGCGCGAAGGTATGCATCTGAACTTTTTTCTTATTAATGACTTTTGTATTGTTTTTGTCGCATAACTTATCTCAAACTAGGTGATTTTCTCGTGCTCATGCACGGATATAAATATTTATAAACAAATGTACTATAATAATTAATTGCTATTTATTTTAATATTAAATTAGCATTATTTACTTATTAATATTATATTACTTTAATTAGACACATAATTTTAGATATGTTATATTTGATATGTTTTTGCCTTTACAGTCGATTTATATATTAGTTGTGTATAGATGACAAAAAAAAAAAAAAATTTAGTTGTGTATATTGGATTGCATTTATTTCTCTGAATTCAACTATATTTTTTCATTTTTAAATATATTTATTCAAAAATTGTTTTTGAAACACTAATTTTTATATTAAATTTCTTATTTGAATTTAGGTTGATTTTTTTTATTAAATATGTAAATATAATTTACTACAGTCAACTAAATATAAGAAAAAAATAAAACATTTCAATAATTAAACATATATCAGTTTATATTACTTAATTATCTTATGTAATCTTCTAAGAAAATAGATAAATATATAAAAATATATTTCTATTACTT